ACATTTAAAATATTTAAAATATTAAATGATGTTCTTTATCGAAATATTCGATTTACATTAGACCATCATTTTTCATTTTGATAATATATATTCATTATATCACAATATGACGCAACTTTACCATCTCAGATCGTAAATAATTAATATTAATGGGCTCAGCTGGCTCAAGTTCATGTCCAGTGCGCGGTATCTTTGTCAACCTTTGGGCTCCATAAAACGAGGAGTACCAACTGAGCGACTATCAGATTCTGAAGATTCTTCTGCATGATGAAGCTATAAACTATCATTAGACTCTTCAATGTTAAGGTTACTCATTGTTCATCATTGGCTAAGAGATGCGTAGCGTAGTGAACAATTTCCCCGATAGGAACATACTTCTGCAACACCGCATAGCCGTGAATCCGTCGTCTCTCCATGGGGGTTGTCGCTTCCTTTGTAGGTCACTTCGGCGCCAGGCGTCGTAACGCCTATATTGTGAGAACACTGCACAGCGAGAAGTAATATGGACGCTCTATAAAGTTCTCTAGACGCCGAGGAAATTAAATTCCTCTCTATAGTTTCCTTGTAAATCCACGGTATCACCCAACATCGCAATGGAGGAGTTAGCACTCATGCTCTGGATGTATCGGGTTCAAATCTCGGCCTGGATACCGGCTAAAATGACTGACATGTAGTTTTCCTCACTCCCTCGAGTCAGATTCCGGGATAGACCCTTAAGTTAGGCCACGGCCGCTTCCTTCCACTAGGGCAGCAGGTCTCGGGGCAGATATTTCAACATCATTTCAGCTCACTATTCACTAATTGTCTTCTCATTGGACGCATCAGTCAAGTGTACTGGACGCAAAATATATGCGAGACTGAGTTACGTCACAGTAAGCGGTCTAAGGGGAGACCTTATGCGCTATCGCACCCCTCACACCCCCTACCCCGGATGGCCGGCCACTCGTAGATGGAGGCAGCAATGACCTCTGAAAAGTCGGTGAACTTCTACCCAGAAGACAACCATCTTGGTTTAATTAAGTTGTGTTTCTGGTATCGGTGTCGAAACGGAAATTTATTGACGTATCAGGCGCCATTACATACGTACGATACTTCCGTCCATTCGCAGAAGGTCCATAATATAGTTAGGTTAATTAACAAATTTGTGATATTGTTACGAAGAAAACATCGTCTGGTCTGTTGATTTTCCCCCACATAAATATGCAGCAGTTTAAACGAACTAATTTAAAGATGTAATATAAAGTAGTACGAGAATTTTACACTAGTAGAAGCCTTAGAATTCCAATAGTTTTGTCCGTCTCGCTGATAACGTTTGTACTAATCCGCCAAATTTAACGAAACTTCATTCAGTAATCAGACCAATCGGATCTAGAAAGTTTGCTAACTTCTCTGTTTTTTTAGGAAAACCCCAAATTAGCGCTTTGGAGCCAGGGTTCTTCATTGAAGACAACTGTCTTCTGGGATGTTGCCTCCATAATCAGAGCACCTAGCACCTCTGAAACGTCGGTATACTTATGCCAGACTACACAGCGTAACATCCCAGAAGACATATTCAAATTCACTGCCGTGAGAACCTCACAAACCGCCATGAAATCTTACAAAACTGTCGGTGATTTACCGTGAAGCTGCCCCGCTCCGAACTTAACTCTTTGAGTCTCCAGAAAGGACATGGTGAGTCTGCTGTAACAGTTCGTTATCACTGTGATAAAAATAAACGCGTTGGATGACCGAGAACAAACATAAGAATTCCATCATCCTCCCACGCGAGAAACTATGGCAACATGAATAACCGGAAACATTCTTACGCTGCTCTGCGTTACTTTTAAATGCTTACATCTTTAAACCATCACAAATTATAAATTAATCGTTGTTATAATTTTCTAAAGCCACGGTGGTCTAGCGGTTAGATCGCTGGCCTTGTAATCCTGGGGTCTCGGGTTCGATTCCCGGCGGTGCCCGAATTTGTAACTTGTGTTGGGCAAGGCCGTGGTCTAGGCAACACGGAGTTTTCCTCCGGGGGCTTCTTCCCCGGTTTCTCCGTGGCATCCCAACAATTACTCCATTCACACACAGAAGAAGGCAATGGCAAACCACTTCTGGATCATCTGCCAAGAACGTATATGAACAGGTCCCAGGCCGAGAAAAGGATGGAAGGATCCTGTTCATATGGACCTGTCGTCAGGCAGAACACTAAATAATAATAAATAATTTTTTGTACATTATTTTAATTTTTTTACACTGTTTCCTACAGTCTTATAATGATAGTGAGCTCCAGTGTATCATGACATTACTGTTTCCCCCCCCAGTTTTTAACGCAAAAAAGTGTTTCGTATCATTTGTTTCTGTGTTAATGATCTGCATAGTCTTCTCTATTGCCGATTCCAAACTTAACGAATTCTGGTTACACGCACGTAACTAGACCAAATGGAAACTGTTTTGAGAAACTAAACCAATATGGCACCTAATTCGTCTCTAAATTCAACTTTCATTTTTACATTTTCACACATATTTTTGATATTTTCCAAAAGAAATGTTCAGCGGCGGGCCTCATGTGATGTACAGTGAGATATTTTTTTTATCGTCCAACTAATCGATTCCCATACCATACAATCGGACGCTCCTACAGTCGGGTATGTCCGCGGATATTCGGACTGATAGCGGAGCCGACAAACCTACAGCCTAAACATGTAGACAGTAAACCACCTTGATTACAGAAGATTATGTAAATTATCTGCATTCACACGTTGAAGTTCACAGCAGTTGGCCCCCGCGATTTGTTGGGGGCGGTCGAAAAAAATATCTTACCATATGACTTTATACAGGATGATTAAAAGTTCCTTGAGAAATTTCAAGAACATGTGTTGGTACTCGGAAGTGCGTACGCACACGGTGAAACATGGAGTTATGGTATTAATCTCTATAATTTTATTCAGCAATATTTCGATTACGTTTGTAACGAAATAAACCCGAGCAAAGTTTTTATTTTTTGTTTATGTTAATTATATATAATCATTTGTAAGTTACTGGCTACAAATATTAAATTAGATTATTTATATAAAGATAACGAACTATAAAGATGTCAACCGGTTTATAACGCGAATGAGTTTTTGTAAAGCATCCCCAGAATGAAATTTCATCAGAATCTGTTGTCAATGGACAATCTGGCTGTCCGACACGCGAGTTAATAAACGTTTTTACATGTGTTTGCAGTTACATAATCACATTCTTGGTGTAACTAAAGGCATTAACCAGACTCGTAGTGACAAATGTAAACAGTCATTCATTATAGCACTCATCTGTTAATGAAAACCTTACCTTCCACAATTACCGCCATGAGCTTCCTTGATCCTGGCCAATAACCCACCCAACATGTCCTTACAGTAATTTTTATTCAATTCTTCCATGATGTTACTTCAATCACTCATACGGAAATAGCATTCCAATGTACAATTAAAATATTTAACTTAAGAACAAATTACGAATTAATTTATCACGTTGTTTGGTGTCTGAGCAACAAGACGAACTGAGACACAGATATACAATAAATTAAGAATAATTTTGGAGGAGGAGGAATCCGGTGAAGTATTTATAAAATTAGTTAACTTCTGAATTTACTGTAAACAGCGCATAGAGGAGGTTAGAACGCTCTAAAGATATTTCAAAATCTGGAATGTAAATTACAGCGTGGTCATTGATAAAGGTATCGCCGCTTCCCGGCTTTCGGCAGGAATTGTTTCTGTGTCGTACCAGGAAAACCTTGTAGCTCTTGGCGGTGAGTCATGCAGTTCCAGCCCAGAGCTGAGAAGCGACAGTTCCGTTATGTTTTATTAGTGAACGCGCTGTGCAACTAGCGGAAAAAACCCCAAAGGAATTAAATGAGGAATGATTTCTTACGAATTACCAGATAACTTTTTCCCTTTCGTACTTTCATCTCCTTCCTCCGTTTCTACTGTCCTTACCATGCTGTTGTACGTTCGGCTAATGAAGAAGTTTCCTGCTTTTTATGGAACCCAAAGGTTAATTATCACTTTGACCCTATCCTGTGCCAGCTGAATTCAATACACGCCCACAAACACCATTCGACCAAGATAAATATTGATAAGATCCTACCATCTGCGCCTAGATCTTCCGAGTTGTCTCTTCCTTTCAGACTTCCCAGCCAAAATTTTGTTCGCATTCTCTCATCCATCCTCTTTGACTCGATCGCCCTAACGATATTGGGTAAAGCGTAAAAAATTATAGAGCTCATTTATGCAATTTTTCCTAACATTCATCAGCTGGAATTTAACATTTAGTGACTATTTTGACGGCCATTTTGTCGTGTTTGCGTATTTTTTCGGTTAAGAACAAGGGAGTTTAAACATTTCTAGGCTACAGGGTGTTCGATTGCCGGCAGGAGGGAGAGATCTTTCTCTTAACTGTCACGTCAAGACGGGACAGTCTCCTATCCAATGAATACCGGTGTATCGTTGCCTGGAGATAAGGCGGTCGGGACACGAAGCTATCCACTCCCCTCCTACAAGATTCGAGGTCGAAAAGGAAGCCGTCCTTTATTCCACGCCCAATCCGTCTTCATGGTGTGGTGTGTACAAGTACCAGTGGTATTTTACCCTACCATAAACCTAGCGTCATTTAAGATGAATTTACTATACTGATATTATTAAATCAGAAAATAATGTTGCGACAGTTTCTGGTGCGTATTTGAATGAATGATGATTTCTGACAAAAATACGACACTGTATTAAGAGCCTCTTGTTTAGCTTTCTTGGGTAACTGATTCGAAACGTCTTTAAAACAGTCATCCTGTGCGAGAAATTAAATTGCCCTCTTCAGATACACAAATTTACTTCACTTCGGATACTAACACATCACACTGTAGTTTAAAAAAAGATACTTTAATTATTTCTAGTATCATGTCTGGTGCACTGTACAACAATCCATTAAATGTACGTGAAGTGCTGCTATCAACACCTACGACTAAAATGCTGTGATTTACTTACGCTTGTGTGCTTTATATCCCACGAGAAGATCCAGATGTGGAAACTGTCACAACATGTTTATCTTCGTCACAGACAGTGAGAATCTTCCCTGATTTAGCCTTATATAATAGGCCTCTTAAGTGTCTTTAGTTGCCAAACACCACCGCAAGGTCAAGAACACTGTGTTGCTCAGGCTACTTGTATTTTTCGTGAACGATAATGTAATCCTTTAATTCCAGAGTTCTCCAACACAGCATTTATATGAATATAATGCAGCTTGACGAAAAGCTAAATGACAGCCAAAAGCACGTGCAGGATATTACGGAGATAAGTCAGATTCCTCGAAATGTGTAATTTACAACGCGACACAACGTCTACTAGCGCACGCCAGCGGCTTCAGTTGGCAACTGAAAGTTATTGACGGTTTTAGCTGAACTGCGATGCGGCCGCCCTACTGCACGCGTATTGCTTCATTTTCCCTTATAGGTAGTGCATATTGAATCAACGCATGCGCACGTTGTTGACTTTTTTTTGTGTAACACCGTTGTCTTACGTAGGTTTTTATCCTGACAGAAATAAACTCCTGCCATTATGGAATTCCTGCAGTTGATACTATGATGAAAACATCTATAAAAAGCATTCACTCACATGTGTACATATATAAATAAATATACACACATGTACGGAAATATTTTCTTTGTAATCAATGAATCAATAATTGATATAAATCTTCTACCCCTTCCCCTTTTCCAGTTATATTTTATTCTGCCATTTATATCTAATTTTATGCAAGTATTTTCCTGTAAAACTATTCTCAGAGCATTTCTGAAGTTAGCTCAATCAGGGGGCCCAAGAGTTAGTGTTTATGTCCTCTCGTATTTTTTTTTTACCTGAAGACGGGAGCAGGATCCAACTTCGAAAACGTACTTTTATTATTATTATATTATTATTATTCCATCTATTCCCCACTTTATAGGGTATTTACTTCTATGTACCCGAGACAAACCTTGCCCCTGAGGCACACAGCGCAGTGGCTATTTCCGAAATACATTTTGTTTTTAATACGTGTTACATGTATTATTATTAAACAATAATAATTGTTTTTATTGTTTATTTACTTGCTGTGCTGACTGCATCTTATTTTGTGGTTTTAATTTTATAAGTTTTTTATTTTTTATTGTTTAATGTTTTATTTAGTATTATTAATTGAATTAGGTATCGTAATTAGCCCATTCACTTGTGAAATATTATTCAATAAATGAATTGAATTATTATTATTATTAATATGGTACATTTATATATTTAGTTTTGTTTGTTTGTTTGTTTGTTTGTTCCTGTATTTGTAATGTTTTACTTTTATTAAGTATTTATCATTTTTAAATGAATTATTTATTATATCTTATTCTGGACTTTGGTTTAGTGCTTGGCTGTTATTGGCCTTATTTGGCTGTTGTCAATCACTTAAATTAATGAATTGAATTGAATTGAATTATTATTTTGTAATTCAGACGAAGGACGGAGTCCAAGAGAACAATTTTACAGACAAAAACGTACCATCGTCAGAAATCTTCGCTGCATTCCGTAATTCTACAGAATTATTGTACAATTTGTTATGAGTTTCCTCTGCTCTAACAGTAAGCCATGTTCCACTACAAAATATCTACTTTACAAATACCACGCCATTCGAAGGAAGAGGTATTTTGGCGCTGGTGCTCTCGCCCCATACTATCGACATCCGGTAGGGTCCTTCAAGGTCCATTATTATTATGTTTAAAAAAGCCCACCGTGGAATCCTACCTGAACCAGATGAATCCAGTCCACACTTTGTCGCCCTATTTTTTTTTAAAAAAAGATCCGTTTTGATATTTTCTTAGTCTCCCAAGGGGTGTAGTTTGTTTTCAGACTGGAATTTTTATGGTCTACTCATCTCTTCCACGCGTGTTACATGTACCACCAATCTCATTCTCCTTGGTCTGATGAACACTGCGTAATATTAAGCCTTTGTTCATGCAGATTTCTTCATCCGCAAGCATTCTTTTCTGACACCTTCCTCAATCTAATTCATTCCTTTCACGTGACTTCAAGCATGATGAATTTTGATCTAGGAGTCAGATCTTGCAGAAATGCAGTCATTAATCCCACCCCCCAATAATCGTACTACAGTAATAAGATATTTAGTAATAATAATATTAATAATATGCTGCTGTTATGCTACGTAGCGAATATTTCTTTTATATTCCTCAAGTTTTAGAGGTCGGACGGCTAACTGCTTGCTGGACTAGTGCATTCCCCCTATTTGAAATCTAATTTTTCTGATGAAGTTGATGCAAAATGAACACTTGTCTTGCGTAAAGAATATTAAAAGATTCTTATCCCAACCGCTATAGAGGTTCGCGGAGAACAGGTTTGGAAACATTTCAATTACAGAAATTATAAATGAATCGTAATTGAGTTAATAAATTGTTGGTGTGTAAGGAGGCCTTCTGTTTAGCGCCATATTAGTTAGCGAGTATTAATTAGCACTCAATCTAGGGGGAAGTTTAAGGACTCGAGTTGTCTTGTACCTAGGTCGTCTTCCTCGCTGACCTGGAGGATGGAGAGTAACCTCCATGTCTCCTTCGGCTAGACGCATACCACATCTGAGGCAACTATGTTACCACCTCAGGCCCTGGCGTCATGAAGGTTCTCAGCCCGCGGGCCGCGTGAAATTCGTCTGATTTAAAGCAGAATACACAAGTTCTAATGTGATGTTAGTGCTTGTTAGAAGTGGATGGAACGTTGCTTAGCAGAGGTTTTTCATGTTCGTGATGGCCAATAAATTATAAAAATTATAAATTTGAATTAATTAGAAGAACCATAATGATTTCGAAATGACGGAACTTACTGTATCTTATCGTTAACTTATGCTATTATGGTCCCAGAAGGTATGTCTGCCATTGGTCATCCGTAAAGGAAAAAGTAAAACTGCCCCACTGATTGAGTAGAGTTGTCCAAATTCAACCAAAAATAAATTAAGATTAGTTTGGAAACAACGGAAAGAAATTAGAATTTGAAGATTTCTGTCTTCTGGGTTGTTGCGCTGTGTAGTCTGGTCGATGTTTACCAACGTTTCAGAGGTCATACTGCCTCCGTCATCAGGGCGCTGAAGATTTCTGTCTTCTGGGTTGTTGCGCTGTGTAGTCTGGTCGATGTTTACCAACGTTTCAGAGGTCATACTGCCTCCGTCATCAGGGCGCTGAAGATTTCTGTCTTCTGGGTTGTTGCGCTGTGTAGTCTGGTCGATGTTTACCAACGTTTCAGAGGTCATACTGCCTCCGTCATCAGGGCGCTGAAGATTTCTGTCTTCTGGGTTGTTGCGCTGTGTAGTCTGGTCGATGTTTACCAACGTTTCAGAGGTCATACTGCCTCCGTCATCAGGGCGCTGAAGATTTCTGTCTTCTGGGTTGTTGCGCTGTGTAGTCTGGTCGATGTTTACCAACGTTTCAGAGGTCATACTGCCTCCGTCATCAGGGCGCTGAAGATTTCTGTCTTCTGGGTTGTTGCGCTGTGTAGTCTGGTCGATGTTTACCAACGTTTCAGAGGTCATACTGCCTCCGTCATCAGGGCGCTGAAGATTTCTGTCTTCTGGGTTGTTGCGCTGTGTAGTCTGGTCGATGTTTACCAACGTTTCAGAGGTCATACTGCCTCCGTCATCAGGGCGCTGAAGATTTCTGTCTTCTGGGTTGTTGCGCTGTGTAGTCTGGTCGATGTTTACCAACGTTTCAGAGGTCATACTGCCTCCGTCATCAGGGCGCTGTGAAAACCTCAACTCTTACAAATTAGAATTTAATTCTCAACGAAATTACGTGCAGATTAAATTTCTCAGATAGTTTGCTGCCATTCGCTTTTGAATACTTACCCATCCTGGACGATAAAGATTAAAATGGAAGCTATTATTTTGTATGTAGTTTTGTAATTTTCCCCAATATGTACGAAATGTCCTCCTTGATCAGAGCAGTAAAATTATTAAGCTTTTCATGTTGCGATTTAATCAACCTTCTGTTGCTTTTTTCGTCTCAGATCCATATATTATCATCAGGAATTCGTTCTCAAACACTCTGAGCCTATGTAATTGCCTTATTGTGAGAACACGTTTCGCTGGCTTAGGCCTAATCCAGCGTTAATTAAATTAGTAACAAAATCTGTACTTTCAGAAAAGAATAGAATTTTTTATATTTGTCTAGTTTCGTGTGCAAATGCAATAAAATTATACCAATTGCGTAATTAAATAGCCCAAGATATCGTGCTGAATTTATCTCAGACGCTTGAGATACCCAGCTGCAAGTTCTTGAACAAATATGCTCTGGTGTTATTTGTTCGAATTAGGGCCTTGTTTCCACATTTAATTATCCTTCCAGTTTAATGAAGGTCGGGCCAATCCGGTTGTAACCGACACATTTCGGAGGGATGGATCCACTGATTACGCCAATCAGTGAATTTAGTTAAATTTCCAAAGGAAAGAAACCGATGATAATGTCACGACAGTCTTTTGTTTGTTGTTGTGTTAACTCCGTTTGTTCTCAATAGATGCCATTATAGGCCACAAATGGACAAGTGTTTCATTAAATGGATTACCAAAAATTTATACACGTAACTGCTAAAGATACGTGTTTAGTTATTTGCTGGCGTGTGACTCTCAAAGTTCGATATAATTTCGTCTTCATTGTCGATGAAGATCACTCGAACACGCCAAGTTTATAAAAATTACAAAAGATGGAAGTCACGTGTTGAAATGTTGTGTACATTTTTTTTATATTTTAATCATGGCGGCTTATATTGTTCTTCGGGTTAATTTATGTGTAGACTCACGAGGTTATTCCTCTAGAAGCAGACACGGAAAAGAATACAGGAGTCCCAAAAATATGTATACACGCATTCAGTGAATGAAATAAAGATATTTTTAAACTAAACCGATTTACACGGCAGAATTGGCACTTGATGAAGTAGAGAGTCTAGTGTAGACAGTTTAGTGTAGACCACACTTGGTTCCACAGCAAACGGAAATCGATAACTAGGTTAATATTCCGTATTATAACGCGTATAAATATTTTTGACGTAAATACGTCTATACGGAAGGGTCATTCGGCAAAAAAGTGAAAGGAAAACGTGGAACGAAAATGTGTAACGAAAACGTGGAACGAAAAATGTGTAACGAAAACGTGGAACGAAAAATGTGTATCGAAAACGTGAAACGAAAGTGTGTAAGATCCGTATCAACAAATCGACAACAATGGTTACCTATGGAACGTCGTGTTTACTCGGCATTGTTGTTACCTAGGGAAACATGTAAGATCCATATCAACAATGTGTAAATATGGATCGACAACAATGGTCAGCTTGCGTGCATTGTTATGTTACCTAGGAAACGTCATCTGTTTACTCGGCATTGTCAAACTTTACTCAATTGTGAAGTATGTCTAAAGGA